TCCCAGAGCTCTTCAGCTCAAGGTGAGCACTCTCCCACTTGAGCCACAGCGCCACTTCCGATTTTCTGAGTGGTTTATTGGATAAGAATCTCATGGACTTTCCTGCCCGGGCTGGCTTTGAACCGAGATCTTCAGATCTCAGCCTCCTGAGTAGCTAGGATTACAGGCATAAGCCACCAACACCCTGCTCATCTGTCTTTTGTGTGGCTTTGCAAAGTTATTTCTCATATGAAACCCAGTATTAGCAGGATACAGGTGGTATACACTCCTGTAACCCCAGCATATCTAAGGAAGGAAGATCAAGCTTTCTAGATAGCCTGGACTACATAGCAAGACACTGTCTCAAACCTTAAACCAGGCCTAGGAGGTGTGGCTCAAGTGGTAGAGTGCCAGGCTTGAGTGGAAATAGCCTAATGAGTTCAATAGCCAGGCCATATACACATTCACAAAACTGAACCAAAATCAACCAACCAATCAAAACCTTCTACACATTAGAGGGTAGGTGTGTTTTATGTCTTAGATTTGTTACCTAAAAGGTTCTAGAGTTGTACAAATGCCTTACTGAACTTAATGTTTATGTAAGATTTCATCATGGAATTAAAGAATGTTAAGAGGAAAGATTTCTACCCTTTTACATCCATCCAATTTCCCTCTGCAACTGATGTGTATCTTCAAGACAGTTTCAGAACAATAAAGAAATCTCCTTGTTGATGTGATATTTAATTTTCATATGTGGCCTAATGAATCCTCTGGGTTTGAACTCTTCCCCCACCCTGCACCCTAAGCAGCTCACAATCTAATTGTAGGAGGAAGTTAACCAACAGTCATAAATGGTGACAAATATCAGGAAGAAAACTTGGGTGCTAAAGGAGCTAGTCCAGAGACTAGGACCAGGACTGAGCTGTGAAGTCCCATGACCTGTGGTCACAGGCTAGCCATGTCCCCATTTGGTGCTGTCATTGTTCTTTCAGAGACCCTCTGCAACACCTATTTATAGTGGGAGGGGGGACCTTGGAGGTGCAGGCTCCCTCAGAACTCAGCACCCCAGCTACCAAGCCCACTGGGGATCTGGTACAGTGGCGCTCCCTAGGAACAACTCCTGTGATGCTCCTTGGGAGATCCTTGCTCCCTCCCTGATCCATGGGCTCTAGCCCCGGCTTCTTGGGCCACTAGGACTTGTTATCAACCTTTTTACTGTTTAATTTTTGAGCTAGGCACTGCTACTCCTGCTTCTGGCTACCACACTTGCTCTGGGTCACTCGCAGGCAGCAAGACTGCTAGATTGACTCTGAGGCCTAATCTTCCCTCTCTTTCCTCACAGAGGAGGGTGAGAACACATCCACTTAAAGCCACAGGGATGTCCAAGAGGTGTATCTGGTGTCCACCTGGGTGGATAAGGCCCTAGTGTCCAATGGCTATTCCTCCCTGACTTTGTCCCCAAGCTCTCAACCCCACAAGTCCTTACTTCAATTGTTGGACTTCAAGTGATCATCATACAGAAGAACAAATGAAAATATTAGTGAAAACTGATGCCCCAGGAAGTCTAAGGTAGAGGTCTAGAGCCAGCCTGGGTATGGTGTGTAAATAAAATTGTTCTCTTACCATTTGAATCATGCCTCTGGCCTTGCTTTCTGTTCATTAGTTTGGAGATGGCATCTCTCAGACTTTTCTGCCCATACTTACACTTTTTGAACTGTAGCTTTCCGGATCTCAGCCTCCTGAGTAGGATTACAACAGTGAGCTGCTGGCACCTAGCAAGAGTGAGAATTTTAATATTCCTCCTCCCTGCCATGCAGTGATTATTCATTGTGCCATTCTTTATATTACTTGTTTTGCAAACTCCTAAATCATTTAGCTCTGAAGAAATTTCAGTGACCCTAACTGGGTGGGCACTCAGCTTCAGACCACTGGGCCAAGGCAGTTTACTTAAAAACTTTGCTCTGTCATCTTATCTTTAAACTGTAGGCTGGGAGTAGCTTTATGGTAGACTAATTGCCTGGCATACCTGAAGCCAAGGTTTGATTGTTAGGAGGGGAAAAAGAGGGTGGGGATAGCAATTACTTTTATATGTAAAGAAGGTAGAGAAAGCTCTAGGCAGATTCTATTATCATTTTTCATCTGCCAGTGTTAGTTTTGTGTTCAGTCTGTTGCTAATCTTTTTTTTTTTTTCTCAGTCGTTGGGCCTGAACTCTGGGTTTGGGCGCTGTCCCTCAGCTCTTTACCTCAACGCTAACACTCTCCCACCTTCTCAGCCCTAGGTCTTGATCTTTTAACACAGGGACTAGCTAGTCAGGATCCTGGGGCAAAGCAGATGAAGTGCCTATGTCTAGAGCCTCTTCTACCTCACTCCCATCCAAAGAGGGCATGTTCCAGATAATATTCCCAGCAAAGTTCAGGATGTATGTTACCTGCCCAGAGCTCAGAGGCCACTACCAGGTATGGTTATTCTCTGGATGTTAGGATTCCTCTAAGATTCTTCTCTCTCACGGGTGTCTGTTGGTTAATGAAGAGGAAATAATTCCCAGACTCTTCTGGTTAGTGTATTGGGGTTAACTGACCCAGTTCCAGGTTCCAGATGAACTCTCTACCTCCTTGCTTCTTACCTTCAGCAGATGCCTTGCCTAAGCTATGTGCATCATGAAAAGTGGCTTCTTGGACCTCAGAAGACAAGGGTGAGGGCATCTAGGCTCAGAATAATAGTAATAGTAGTCATAGTAGTGTTAGCAGTGGTAAGGGCTGAGGGTATTACTAAGAAACAGTATGTGGGAGGTCCTGAGCTTAAATCTAGCACCGAAACCCCCAAATTCTTACTAGCAATACAGTACTTATTGCTGGGCCAGAGTCTTCTCTGCTTTTACCTATTCATTTATTTAATAATATAGGCATCCAACAAAGTAGATCCAATAACCAGTATAATGGTTAAGAGCATAGTGTTAGAGCTTATGACACACTACCCCACAATTTGACTAGAGGGAAAGCTCAGTATATCACTCAAAAAACAATGGTAGGGGCTGGGAAGGTGGCTCAGTGGTAGAGCGCTTGCCTTGCATGCCTGAGGCCCTGGGTTTGATTCCTCAGCACCACATAAGCAAAATGAAAAAAGCCGGAAGTGGCGCTATGGCTCAAGTGGTAGAGTGCTAGCCTTGAGCTGAAGAGCTGAGGGACAGCGCCCAGGCCCAGAGTTCAGACCCCACGACCGGACTCCCCCCCCCAAAAAAAAAAGAAGAAAAAAAAACACTGGTATAGTTTGAATCAGGTTATTCTGAGAAACTAGACATGTGAATAGCTCCACAAAGCTGTCATTATGCAAAGCAAAAACAAGACCTTCCTTTTATCCTGGCACCAATTGCCCATATCTGTAATCCTAGCTACTGAGGAGGCTGAGATCTGAAGATCAAGCCTTGAAGCCAGGCTAAGCAGACAAGTCCATGAGAGTTTCAACTCCAATTAGCCAGCAAAAAGCCAGAAGTGGAAGTGTAGTGCTTAAGTAGTAGAATGCCAGCCTTGAATGAAAAAGCCAAGCATGAGCATGAAGCCCTGAGTTCAAGACCCAGTACTGGCGTCTACAAACAAAAATCCACATACTTGTTGGGTGCCAGTGGCTCACACCTGTAATCCTAGCTACTCAGGAGGCTGAAAGCTGAGGATCTCAGTTCAAATCCAGCCCAGGCAGATAAGTCCATGAGACTCACCTCCAGTAAACCACCAGAAAACCAGAAGTGGTGCTGTGGTCCAAGTGGCAGAGTGTTCAACCTTGACTGAAGAGCCCAGGGACAGCACCCAAGCCCCACGACCAGAAACAAAACCCAAAACATATTTTTACAGATGAGGAAACTGAGGCACAGAGGAGATAGGTGGTTTGTCTAACTAGTGCAGGATAGGCTGGGAAAACTTAGGAAGTTAGTCTATGTATGCATTACCTTGTGAGGGGAGTGGGTGGGGGAAGCCAGAACTAAGTCTTTTTCTCCTGTGCAGAGAAGTTTGTAGAGGCTGGCTGGACTGTCCCTAGGTGGCCAACTGTTTCTGGAAGAGCCATAAATTGGAGCTAAGAGGTTGAGGTTTGGTCTAGCCTCCCCAGGGTTCCATCTCACAGTTACCTTCCAATCATTACTCCTCCCTGGAAGCTGTGGCGACGCTCAGTGGGGACTTAATAGATGACAACCTGAAGGAGAGAATTCTGCTTAGGAGTTTGAACTCTGAGTTTAATCCATTGGTAAACTCTATTTAGGTCAATAAATCTTTACCTGGGGCCTTCTATTTAAGATCTTGTGATTGCTACTGGGAAGAATTAAAAGACTGCTCACAGTGGCGGGGGGGGGGGCGTGCAGTGAGCCAGCAGGTGGGCCTAGGATGCAAGATAAATAAGAATTAGCCTGGTGGTGAAGTTCCAGCTTCAGGTAACGCTTGCCCACGCAAAGGAAGGCAATCTAAATATCCCGAGGGCTCGGGTGGCAATTCAGTTGAGCCCTAGACATTTGATTATGGAGCAAGGGATTTACCTCCAGGAACAGGAGAGAGGTTTAGGTTCGGGGGACCATATTTACGTTTTTAGGAAGGATCACTCGGAAGCTGGAGCCCAAGCTAGAAACGAGCTACGTGGGCAGCTGCGGAGCCGCTCTGGCCTCAGTCACGCAGCAGACTGGTCGCGGACTGCTGCGAGCACGGCGGTGGCGGGTCCCGAAGCCTCCCGTAGATGTAATAGGACACCAAGCCCCGGGCTGCGGCCCCGCCTCCCCCCGCAGGCCCGCCCCAAACGAGCCTGTCAGCCCCGCCCTTCCACCCTCCCTCAGGCCCCGCCCTTCCCTCCTTAGGCCCGCCCTAGCTTGGAGCCCGCGGACCACACCCCCCGCCGGAGGCCCCGCCCCCGCAGGCCCCGCCCTTACGCTCGCGCGCCAGGCTCGGGCGGCGCCGACCCGCTTGGCGGGAGATAGGAAAGTGCTTCCGAGCGCGCCCGAGGTGCCTGCAGTTCCTGCGAGCGCGCTGTGGGACCTGCGGACACGCTGACGCCTCCGAGCGCAGCCTGGGGCCCGGAGCGGCGCAAACAGCCGGCGTCCCGTCCCCGGCCCGGCTCCCTCTCCCGGCTCAGCGCAGCCCGGGCCGGGGGGGATGTCTCGGCGGACGCGCGGGTAAGCGAAGCGGAGCGGGCGGGTCTGGGGTCCTCCCTTCCCCTGCCCTCCTTGCCGGGCGTCTGAGCGGGACCTGGGGCGGGGGTTCTGAGGGAAAGCCGGGTCCTGGGCCGCGCGGCATTTCCCTCAGGGAGACCTGAAGGGCGCGCGCAGCCCGGGGCTGGTCGGACCCCGGCTCGGGTCCCCGGGTCCGGGTCCGAGTCGGGTGCGGGGCCCGAGGGCGGGCGGGCTTCCGGAGACCCGGACCTAGTCCTGGCTGAGGTCACTTCGTCTCCCGCCTAATTTCGGGGCGGGGGTGGTCAGGCGGGTGTCAGCTGGAAGGCCCCCCGCGGGGCGGGGTGCGGCCCCCGGG